ACGGCGCCAGCCAGCGCGCGCTGTGCCAGCTCAGCGTGCTGGAGCTCATCCTGGCGGTGGCTGCGCACCGCGTGAGCCAGCGCCGCCCCGCCCGACGCGCTCTGCTTCGAGCAGGCCCACGCCGAGTTCAGGCGCTTCAGCAACCTGCGCGGACAGCACGTGGATGGCTACACGCGAGGCGCAGCGCTCCGGGCGCTGGACGCTCTGCTGGCCCTGGGGGTGCTGAGCCGGGCCGGCACGCGGTGGGTGGGAGGTTGGCTGTGTGGGTGGGGGATGGTTGTGTCGGATGAACAAGCTGACAAGGATGGTATGCACTGCCTGGAATCAGCAAAAGATGATGCGCAGGGCTGGCCTCGGTTTATTTGTTGCTCATACTGGGCCCCAACCATGGAATATGCATTGATCCTGACCATCGCCATGCTCCCTGCTCAACCTCCCCGTCGCTCCATGCCCAAGCACGGTCACCCACATCTCCCCACAGGGCAAACGACGCCGCTGCGGGGGGGAGGCAATTTATGCCCCTGCATCTGCAAGTGACGCCAGAGGAACTGGGTGCGGCCCTGGCAGCCCATCCTTCCTGCCCCCTGGCCCTCCAGGAGTGGTTTGCAAAGGAGGGAGGGCTGGGCGACACTGCCAACCAGATGCTGGGCTGATCGGATGTCGATCCGATGCAGCCGATGGTGCGATGCGCTGGTACTGCTTGTGTTCCTCGTGTACAGACGGGACTGTAACAAGCCTTGCAGCGTCAAAGAAGAGCACGCCAGGCAAAAGGGGGGGTTCCTGGGGTCTGGGGTTAGCTTCAGCAAGAGATGGCACCATACACCAGCTGGAGATGCCAAGTACATGTCATCATCAGACGACAATCAGCCTCAGCCGAAGAGCAACTTGACGAGGATGATGATGACGTTGACCACCACCAGAGGAACTGTGTACATTTTTGTGAAGTAGGAGGATAGTGTCATCGTTAAATAGACGCAAAGGTGTAGGGAGATACGAGGAATGGGTGCATACAATCATTTTCGTCTTTAGACCAGTTGATGGCGGCCCAGCATAGAGATGTGAGGTCAACTTGTGGGCCCTTCACGACCACCCAGCGACGAACACTCGGTCCATTAGGTTCACAGCTCACCTCGTAGGTACTGGGTGGCGTGCAGCGCGCCGATGATCTGCTGCTTCAGGGCTCCTGGGCTGTGTGTGCCTGCCGCGCCCCCTCCCAGCTGTGAGAAACCCCAGCCATCTGTGGAACGAGAGAGGGGCGGGTCCCACAAACTTTTACGTTCGTCCAATGCAAGCCTGGCGCGGTCCAAAAAGCTCCCATAGAAACAATTACATTAAAAAAGAATAGCCCGGCTCGACTCACGTCGCTCCAAGAAGCGGTCGTTGTTGAGGATGGCCGCAGCGTTCACCGCCAACACACACGCCTGGAGATAGTTGGAGTGCAAAGGTTCTTGCTCAAGTGTTCATATGGAGCAATGTGATGTCGGCAGCACCTACCACCTCTTTCGCACCTGAAGCAGGGTCCAGAGAGACATGGCGCAGGCGACCTCAGCGGTATGATCTGGGCATTGCACACAGCTCACGCTTTACACGCAGGTGAGCGTTTGTTATTCTGCACGATCTGCATACATCTCGTAGGTTTCCCATGCCTGGCCTCGGCAATAGCACGGCATCGATGCTCTCGCGCTCACGCCAGATTTCAGGAGGTTGTCCAAGCTGGAACCACGTGGCATAACATCTCCCCAGTAGTGACGCCTCTCGAGCAGATTGAGGGCAGCCTGTCGCAGTCGAGGAGGTCCCTTTGGTCCATTCAATCCTGTGGCCGCAAAAACCGCTCACCATGTCTGACTACAGCAGCGACAGCGAGAGCAGAGTGAGGGATGGGGAGGTGAGGCGGGGAAGCCTGCGAGCACACCGACGGCGTGGCGGAGCGTGGCCACTCACACACCCGATACGCCACCTGTGCAGGAGAATGAGTCCATTTCCAACCCCGATGTCGTGACCAAGTACAAAGCCGCGGCCAAGATCGTCAACGGTGAGTGCTTGTCGGAGTGGGAAGGGGCGCCCACCGTCGCGGGTCTCGCAATCACAGCTCGGCCGAAGGGGACACCCCACGCCCCAGATCATGCTCCTGGAGCTTGAATCCTGTGCAGGGTGATTCGATGTGGACGTGCAGGGCGGCCTGATGCCCTGCTTAGCAACCATTCGCCACACGCCCTCCCCATGCAGACACACTGGCTGCCGTGATCGATGCCGCCAAGCCCGGCGCCAAGATCGTGGACCTGTGCACCCTTGGCGACAAGCTGATCACTGAGTGAGTGCTGATGACTTCTGGAGACGTGGAGGGTGATGGGGGGGACGAGAGTGGCGTGGTGAGGGGGGGCCTTCGTGAGATCCATTGGCACCACCTCATCCCGCGACCCTGACTCCTACCCGTGCAGGGCTGCCGCCAAGGAGTTCAAGGGCAAGGACATCGAGAAGGGCATTGCCGTGCCCACCTGCGTCTCCGTGAACAAGTGGGTACCCTGGTGGTGTTTGACGCCGCTCACGCCGTGCCTTCCTCATGGCCGGCAGCCAGAGGGCGAGCTTTGAGGAGCTGCCTTGGCCTGGAGGCCCAACATGAGTGGCGAGAAGGGGCACCATACCCCCACAGACCCGCCCACCCAGGCCAGCGCTTTCGATGCAGACTCCCTCATCCCTCCCCTCCCCCGGCACCACTCCCTCGCAGCTGCATCGGGCACTTCTCCCCCCCCGCCGACAACACGGCCACCCTCAAGGAGGGCGACGTGGTGAAGATCGACCTGGGGGCGCACATCGACGGCTTCATCGCCCAGGCCGCGCACTCGCTGGTGGCGGTGGATGGCCCTGCCAAGGGCCGCGCCGCCGACGTGGTGGCCGCCGCACACGCCGCCTACGAGGCCGCCAGCCGACTGGTGCGTGCCGGTCGGCGCGCCAAGGAGGTGGGCCCCGTGCTGAGCAAGATCGCCGAGGCCTATGGCTGCACCCTGGTGGAGGGCGTGCTGTCCCATGAGATGAAGCGCTTCATCATCGACGCCAGCAAGGCGGTGCTGCCGCGCCCGGGTGTCGACCAAAAGGCGCGGGGGGGGCACGGGGGTGGCGGGGGGGCCCGGGCGAGGGCCGGGGTCCGTGACTTCATGCCGGGCTCCCCTGTCCTGCCTGGGCGCAGCGCGCACCCGCCTGCCTGCCTCACCTCCCGTCCCCATCTCATCCACATGCAAAGTACTTCTTGAATGCCATCCACAAATACTCACACAACCCCCCTAACCCCCCATCTTTTGCAGGCCGACGACTTTGAGATTGAGGAGGGCGAGGTGTACGCGATTGACATCGTGATGTCCACCGGCGAGGGCAAGTCCAAGGTGGTGGATGAGAAGGAGACCACCGTCTTCAAGCGCGCTCTGGACGTCCAGTACCAGCTCAAGATCAAGGTGGGCGCGATGGAGCAGTGGAGTGGGGCGGGGGGGAACTTTTTTAATGAGGAGCATTGGAGGAGCATTGGAGGTCATGAGCATTGCTGGTAGACTCTCGGTCGCAGGCGTGACCGCCCACACAGTCGGCCTCTCCAGCCTACCATGCCGTCAGCATTCACCCTTCCCCGCTTTCCACTCTCAAACAAGCGCAGGCGTCCCGCGAGGTCCTGTCGGAGATCAACAAGAAGTTCCCCACCATGATGTTCTCCAGCAGGGGGCTCGAAAGCACAAAGACCAGGCAGGCATCGGGGGAATGGTAGTGGAGGGGGAAGGGAGGGGTCCACCTCGACAAGGGGGACGAGACACGGTGCAATAATATGGAGAGGGTGGCAGGAAACCCTTGCTACCGGGCTTTTACAAGAGAGGCAGTGTCCTGGGCTTCCCCCTGGGATGTGGCGATTGACGATCCTCAGCGACGCCCCCGCATGGTCCTGCTGTGTGGAAGACCCAGGCCCTCAACCACCCACCAAACTCCCCACCCACAGGTATGGACTGTTGGAGTGCATCAACCACAACCTCCTGCAGCCCTTCCCCGTGCTGTACGAGAAGCCCGACGCCCTGGTGGCCCACGTGAGTGTGGGGCTTGGTATCTGCTGGTGGGCTGGCTCAGGTGGCTGTGATGTCCATACCAGCGGAATTACCTGGAGAGAGGCAGCCTGCAGGGGGGCCAGGGATTGGAAGGCTACTGGCCCTGCACTCCTCCCTTGTGAACCATCAAGACACCTTGTTGAGTGAATGCATGCTGTTGCAGCCCTGGTGCCGAACCGCTCCCAGCCACCATCACCCACACGACCCCCCCCTCATCCCCACCTGCAGTTCAAGGGCACGGTGCTGTTGGTGCCCTCGGGCGTCGACCGCATCACCAACAGCACCCTGCAAGCCCTGGAGAGCGACAAGAGCATCGAGGACGCAGAAGTGAAGGCGCTACTGGCGGTGCGTAAGATGGGGATCCAGACAATCTGGCGGCCTGATGGCTGGATGGGATCACGGGGCAGTATACCATGATGAATATGCTTCTAGTATCGGCTCACATCCCACCACTGACCTCACACTTCCCACCACATCCCCATCTTGCCGTTGCAGACCTCTCTCAAGACCAAGAAGAAGAAGAAGAGCAAGGGCGAGGCACCCAAGGCTGTGGAGGCTTGATGCTAGCATTTTCCTGTAATGGGTTTCCTTCCCGCAAAGGATCGGCAAGGCCAGCAAAGTCGAGGGACCAGGCATGGCAGGGCACTCCTCACTGCTTACTGCATACCCTCTTTGAATTAGGTTGTTTCTGAGCCCAATTCCGTCGGTGGCAAGGGGCATGCTCGCTGGCGTGGTACAGCCCACCTCCTCCCGGAGGTCGCTGGTGTGGGCCGATCGGAGGTGCATCAAGGGCAGGCACCTCTTGGCCGGTACGTATGCAGTTTCAATCCATCTGACCAGTAGATTGAGATCCCATATCGTCCTGCCTGGGGCTGGCGTAAACTCTGCCGGAGGAGCTCTCCATGTGGTGGGAGGGGGCCTCGAGTGGGCCACCTCTCGCGGGATCATGACATCCCATGCACGGGATGCTTACCTCCAATATCCCTCTCCCTTCATTCGTGTTATGTATTTCAGTTCCATCTCGGGCTCGAGGGCACCCAAGAGGAAGCAGACAGGTGACTGTGGCTGCAGCCCCCTCCACACCCACGCCTATCAAGTCCAAGGGTACCCAGACCGTGATCGACAAGAGGTGGGACGGGTGAGAGGCAACCGAGGTGCGGCGTGACGCTGCCCATGGCCTCCTTGCTTATATTCAAAGGAAGCATCTCCCAACTTTCAATCACCACTGACATGACAGGACCAAGTCGAAGGGCAAGCAGCCACCCATCTACCGGGTTCTCCTGCACAATGACAATGTGAATCGGCGAGATTATGTGGTCAAAGTGCTCATGCGCGTGATAGACGGGTACACTATGGAGGATGCCGTCAATGTCATGCAGGTATGGTGGAAGGATCGGCTAGACTCCCTTGATGTTGGGCGGGCTGATGCTTTGGCACTTCAATGTGCTGCAGTCCAGGACAAGTGGGAACGCTTTGCCTGGGTCTCAGGCCATGCACTCTCTCACTGCATCCTTCTCCGACCCACACTCTCTCAGGAAGCACACATGAATGGGCTCGCACTCGTGACGGCATGCGCTCAGGAAACTGCGGAAGAATACTGTGAGCAGCTGAGGGGAGCGGGGCTGATCGCCAGTCTGGAGCCGGATGGGGGAGGCGGCGGATCATCCTGAGCATGGTCTGGTGAGCCCTTTGATCCTGCTGTGCCATCAAGATGGCTGCCAAGCCTGGCCCTGGCGCCGTGCTGAGCTCTGGTGAAGGTTTGTGCAGAGCCCCACCATGGTGGCATAGCCAAAGGCGATACGCCGTCCACCCTCCTCCCAAATGGTTTGGCTGAGAAGGAATTTCCGCCCTCAAGACTCTCCAAGATCCCTCCAATCTGTCCAATAGCCTCTTTTGGAACCTGTAATGTTTTATGTACTCTTGAAGTAGGCTTCTGAGGTTTGACAAAGCCAGGAGAGCCTTGTACTGTCCCCGCATTACAGGCAGGAATGATTTTGTTGACATTCTGTTCATCTATGCTTCCTTCTGCTTGTTCTGGGTCATGTGCAGAGTCGTTTGCACATGCTGCCAATCCTCGCCGTGCATGCCCTATTGTCGTGGTTCACTGCGAGGAGCTGGGCGGTCAAGCATCTGGGAGCCCACCGCCGGACGACCTATGCTCCCTGCTATATGACGGCCCACCTCGTTTGGTGCATCCCATGGGCGAGATTCACCACAAAATTACATGTCAGATGGGTGAGCTCGATTCAATTTCACAAAAGGGATTCAGGATCCAGGCCCCTTGCATGTTTATCGAGGAGGTTATTCAGGCGATTGAGGCGAGACTGTGTGGCGGGGAGACGCCAATGCATCACTCCAAAAGAAGCAGCGGGCTTGTGGACAAGCTCCAATGACACCCGTCTCCCCCCGCCCCAGCTGTGTGGTCTTGAATGTGCCTGATGCACAATGATGTAGGTTTATTCGCCGCTCGCGCGGTCCCTCATCCCTTGAACTTGACTTCGTTCACCAGCTCCCGTCCCTGGGCGCCTGCGGCCAGGTTCTCGCGAGTCGTGCTGGCGATGGCGTCCAGGGCCGTGGTGGTCAGGAAGGCGATGTGGGGGGTCACGATGACCTGGGGCAGGCCCAGCAGCTCGTTGAACTTCTTGTCCCACACCTTCATGCGCTTCTGGGTATTCAGGTTGGTCATGTCCTTGAAGAACAGGGACTCTGTGAGGGGTGCAGCGGGTGATTGGGGAGGGGAGAGGTGATGAGTGGAAATGTCAATGGCAAGGGAGTGTCCATACGTTCTTAAAATGGAAAGGAAGGGGATGGGGCACATTCCTGATGCCTCGGGGCACAGACGGTTAGCCCAAACCACCTAACCCCCTTCCCTCCTTCCCCACGCCACACCCACCTTCGCCCTCGTAGACATCCACTGCCAGCCCACCCAGGTTCCCATCGGTCAGCGATGCGATGGCGGCGCTGGTGTCAATGAGCCCGCCGCGCGACACGTTGATGACCAGGGCGGTGGGTTTGAGCAGCTTGAGGTTGGCGGGGCCGATGATGTGGCGGGTGCTGGGCAGCAGGGGGACGATGCAGGCTGACCACATCAGCCTCACGCATGAGCTGCTCCAGGGGCACGTAGGACACGCCCAGCTCCTTGGCCTTCTCGGAGGGGTAGGGGTCGTAGGCCAGGACCTTGCCTTCGAAGCCCTGCAAGTTTAGTGACATCACGGCGGGGGAGGGTGGACGATCAGGGGATGGTGATGGACTCTGAGCGGATGGTCAGACACAGCGGCAGTTTTGGCTCGTCGAGCACAGCCCCGGCTCGCCACGCAATCACAATCACGCCAGCATGCACTGCTCCGGGTGGGTCAAATCCCCCCGCAAAAGGCTCACCCGCAGCAGCTTGACCAGCTCCAGGCCGATGGCGCCGGTGCCCACAATGCCAAAGGTCCTGCCCGTCAACTCCAAACCGACGAGACCTTTGCGTAGGAAGGGAGCGAGACAGAGATCATGCTGGGCATCTCGTTTCATGCGAGCACGACAGGAATTGGACGCTGCAATGTCACCATCGCTGCCCCTGGCATGCTTCTGTGTCACCCTTCAGCCACCTTCCTTGATCTTCCCAGCCCACCATTTAGGGTGTAGGAGCCGGCCTGGACCTTGATCTGTGCGAGCTTCAGGTTTCTGCATTGGCAACCAGGGAAGGGAAGACAGGGGGTACATGGATTGCAGCCCCGCGACTGCATCTGCACACCAGGTGCCTCACATCTCGGCTGGAGCATGGGCACCCCTTGCACAGCTGCCGTAGCCACTGTCAAAACCCCACCCATGGAATATTTGCTGCACCTCAACCCCACCGCCAAAGCCAGGGAAAGAGCTGCTGGCCAGGTGTGGCTGCGACGCCCCTTCCCCCTCCTCACCTGGCGAGGGCCATCATCAGGGTCAGCGCATGCTCGGCCACAGAGCGTGGGCTGTAGGCCGGTACGCGGACCACACGGATGCCGTGCTTCTCGGCGGCTTCCAGGTCGACGCGGTCGAAGCCGGCGCAGCGCAGGGCAATCAGCTTGACGCCGGCCTCGGCCAGGGCAGCGATGGACTGCGCGCATGTTTGAGAGAGTGTGCATGAGTCAGATTAGGCTTGACAAGTTGACCTAGCTGCTTGACTCATCTATAGGGCCGCAGGCATGATCGAGGCGCATGCCTCAGGTGGCTTCGGCGCGGCACCCGCTGTGCACAAGGCCCCAGAGGTCTGTCTGCCTCAAATCCCTCTCACCTCTGCGCCCGCGTCGTCATTGACAAAGATGCAGACAGCATCGTGCCCTGCAGCGAGCTTGGCGCTCTTGGGCTCAAGGCGGGCCTGAGGTGGGGCAAGGGCGGGGATCGCTCACCTTGATGGTCACCTGCAGAAGTACATGTGCTGGGCCCAGGGAGCGACCCTAGGCCCGTGATGCACCCATGATCACGCGGTGCTTGCATCCAGGTGACAGAGTGACTCATACCGGGAAGTAGTTGACGGTGGAGAAGACGGAAAAGGGCTCCGTGAAGGAGTCGGTGACCCACTCACTGGAGCTGAACACGGCGACCTTGTACTCGATCTTCTCCTCAGGCATGGTTTCAGGCTCCAACCCTAGGGCATAATGGAGTAATGTGATGCAAAAGGTGGAGCCGTGGGTCCATCATGGCAGGGGCGAGAGCAGGCAGGCGCTCCACCCACCTCCGTGCGCAGGCTGTGCGAGGGTATCAGGTGAAGGTGCCACCTGATGCAAAGCTTGACAGGCAAGGACTGCGCGGCTTGATCGAGTTGGAGGAACAGATTGTGATCTGCAAAACGTGCCAGGGGTTGCAGTTACAGGCCCGGCGGACGGCAAAACCCCATGCCGCGTGGGATGCCAGTTTCCTGCGCGCAGGGCCCCCATGGGTTGCGGCGGGGTGGCTAGTTGCGCCATGCACCGTGCCATTGCTTTTGACGTGTTCATCAAGCACAAGAAATAGGAGTTAATGAAGCATTTGTGTCAATATGAGGGCACTTGATTTAGTGCTTCGTTGTGAGCCGCGGGCAGAGAAATTTGCATTGGCTGCTTTTCAGAGCAGGGCTCGTTGCGTCGGGGGAGAGGGGTGGACAGAGACGGTCCACCTCTGCCTGATTGCGGGTCGGACTGCGGAATGAAGTGTGGTAGGAAGCGGCGTGGCAACCAGATCAGTTGGTTTCTGCTGCGCGCAGAGCCTTTTGTGCAGGACCGCTCGCGGTGATGGATCGCCCATGCAGTGCATGCATGTTGAGGGCCACGGGTACATGCGAAACTCGACTCCACGACAGCAAATGCATTGTGGTCGCAATAATAGCACCGTTTTCCCGTTGTTGTGTATAGCCTGTTGGAGACTTGTTCATCTACTTTGACAACCAGCGTCTGTCGCCCGATATCTGGACCAGGCCCTCACCGCCTCTGGACCCATCCAAGCCCCCTCTTCCTGGGGGGCAACAAGCCCCACGCTTTGCACCCCGCCCCTGACCACAAGGCGAACTTGACGGCTACCACAGCCTTTCATGCCTCATGGTCACAATGGCCAGGCTACAAATGGCCGAGTCCCGGCTCGAGCAAGATCAGTGAGGGTACAGGAGGGGAGGGAGTCAAAGCTCATGAAATACCCTCACAGTGCATATTCGAGGGGTGTCCTCGCCATCCTCCAGCTGCGCCCGGATGACGAGCTCCCTGGTCTCCAGCGCTGGGGTGCAGTTCCAGGTGGTCACTCCTCCGGCAGGGACAGTGTCATTGGAGGCGATGCTGGGCACGCAGCCAGGGGCGCCCTCACGGTGGTCGGTGAGTGTCACGTTGGTCAGGGGCGAGGCCGTCACGATTTGCACCAGGGAGGTGCTGCGGAGAGGGAGGTTGTGGCTCGGAGATTCTAAGACTGGTATGGGATTGGCTAAGTCACTAGCGCAGTAGGCTCATTGAGATGCTGGTGCCCTTGATGGGTCGACAAACCCAGGAGAGAATGTCCTGGTCGTCAGGATCCCCCCCCCCCTCTCCCCCCCCCTTTCTGCACCTCACCAATCAACCTTAGTTCACGCAAACATGCCACCAACTCACCCGTACAACGCTCCGTCCAGGGAGATTTCCAGCTCGAGGTCCTCGCCTGCCGCCGCTGTGTCGGGGCAATCGCGGTAGTCCCGGCCGGCGAGTGCGGCCGTGAGGTTGCGCCCTCCTCCACCGCCGTCGATCGAAAGGACACCCACGTCTTCCGAGTCAATCTGCGCCTCGATGGGCAGCCCCGCCTCCCCACCTGCCAACGTCACCAGCGTCAGCTCGCAGAGCAGGGTGGCACTATCCATCAGCAGCCGGACTGCGCCGGTGGCCGCCAGCCCGCGTGGCATGTCCAGCATCGCTGGCATGCCCGGCACAGTGGAGTTTGCCAATACAGACGTTCTCCACAGGCTTGCGCCCCCTGCGTCAAGCACCTCGACCGCCACGGCACCGGTGGCGCCCGCCGTTGCCGCCTTGGCACTCACCCCCAGCGCCAGCAGCGGCAGGGGCCTTCCGCCTAGGTCCAGCTCCCAGGTCATCTCCTCGGCGTCCGAATTCACAGACCGGGGCAGGCAGGTGTCCAGCCGCCCGTCCACGACCAGCGGCGCGTAGGCCGCTTGGGACGATAGGTCATTCCGGACGACGAGCAAAGCGGTGCGGTCGGCGAGGCGGCGCAGCACCCCCGCCTCGCGCCCACCGACGAGCTCCACGCCGCACAAGGCCGGTGCGGGGCCGGGCCCCGTCGCGCGCACGACAATCACGGCGGCGGGGAAGAAAGCGCGACAGTCCAGCTCCAGCACCGGGCCCGCAGCGGCGGGGAGCGCGGAGGCGCAGAGCGCGGCCGGGGCGCTCCCCGCCTCGCCCTCGCGGTACAGCTCGGCGACGTACCGCACTCCTACGCGCGGCGGGGCGAGAAGGAAGAGCCGCACGCCGCGCACGTGGGGCGGCGCCAGACCCAGCTCGAGGCGCCAGCTGGCGCCGCCCACCTCGTCGTCACCCGCCACGCTGCAGTTGCCGCGGCCCGGGCCCAAACTGATGCCGCCGGATTTCATCCCCCGACCACCGGCCGGGCGTCTGGACCCCACGTCGAGCACCATGCCGGGGACAAAGGTCACCGCCTCACCATCCGGCCAGGCCGGCACGGCCAGATCCCGGGCCAGGAAGCTGAGGGGCTGCACGCCGCAGACACACGGCAGCGCGGCGGCCGGCGGCACAGCCGCCCCAGCCCGCCTGCCGGCGACAGCGGCGGCCAGAGATGCATCATCGGAGCCCTCCACGCCCAGGTGGACCCAGCGGCCCGGCAGCGGGCGCGGGCACTCCAGCTCCACCAGCGCGGCGTTCGACCGCGCCGCCGGCCCGCCGCGGGTCCACAGCGCGCACGGCGCGCCGGTGCCGGGCGTCGCGCTGCCGCTGACGAGGACGCGCCAGGTCAGCGCCTCCACGGCCGCGTCGGCGGGGCCGGGCGCGGGGAAGAGGAGGCGTATGCCGTCCACATAGGCTGCGGTCCCCAGGTCGGCGGTCCAGGAGGGCGCGCTGCCGTTTGACCCCGGCGAGGGGCCCAGGCACGCGCAGCCGTCCAGCGCCAGGCTGGCGGGCGGGAGGACAGCAGAGCCCACCCCAGCACCGCCGACGAGCGCGCCGCCGGCCTGGCGCCAGACGTCCGACAGTGCCGTCAGCAGGCGCGCGCCCTCCCCCGCGCCGCCCAGGCATGCCGCGGCCATGTCCCCCCCGGCGCTTTCCACCTCCAGCGCCGTGGGGCTGCAGGGCAGGGAGCTGGCGTTGCCCTGCAGCCGGGCCCGCGCCGCCGCCAGCTGGGCCAGCAGCGCAGCGCGCGGCGGGGGGCCGGACTGGAAGGCGTTGGCGAGGGGGAGCGGCCGTCGCAGCCGCGCCGTCGCCGCGGCCGCCGCCAGCAGGGGGCGGTAGGCCGTCGCCATGGACCGCATGCGCAGCGTCTGGAGGGGGGTGAAGGTGCGCCTGCAAGGTGTAGAGGGATGGGGATTGGGAAAAGGTGTGGGATTGTGTTGATTGCGAGGCCAGCACCTGTGTCTATTAGATGTGCCATAGGTTGGCGAGCACGACAGATGGAGCCATAAGCTCAGCTTCACACCGAGCCCAAGCTCTCTGCCCACTGGCCGGACTGCGGTCTCCCCTGCTTGACCTTGGCTCCCATACCTC